GCTGGGTCCGTGCTGGGTCCGTGCTGGGTCCGTGCTGAATCCGTGCTTGCTTCGTGCTGGGTCTGTGCTGAGTCTGTGCCGAATCTGTGCCGAATCTGTGCTGAGCCCTGACTTTGGTGGGGGTGTATGGGGGGTCCTGCACCAGCACAAGTGACCCCTACCCATAGAGGGCCTGCACCCAGCGCCTCTCAGCAATTCACTCCTTTATCCCACCAATCAGTGAAGCATCCTTCTTCACTGGGATTTGGTGAAGGCTTCTCTACATTCACTTCGGGCACCTCCTGGGTCCTGGGGTGAGGCCAGAATCAGCCCCACAGGTAGCGCTGGACTCCCCGGCCGAGGTCAGGAAATCAGTCTCTCTCTCCTAGGGAGCCTACTTCAGGGCTTTTCCTACCTTAAGTCCTAACAAGAGTGAGTCTGTCCCATCGGATCTCCCAGGCCCCCCAGCAGTGTCTAAACTCTGGAATGGGCAGAAGAATCTCTATGGCTAGAGGTCCCCTCTCTGGGAGGTGCAGGGTGGGAAGTGACCCGTGCTGCAGCATTGCCTGGAACCGCCCAGAACACTGGCCTGGGCTCCATCCACTGCTCCCTGTAAATGCGAGTCAGCTGGGCCACCGTGGACCCAGGTGTAGTGCAGTGTCCCCACCGGAGATGTACCAGGGTCCCCGGCCCAGGAGGGCCAGTCCAGCCTCCAGAGCCACAGCCATCTGCCCCTGGCCTCGTTGCCTCACTGGCAAAGGGACTTTGCCCCGTGTATCACACCTGGGCTTGCAGAGAAGGCACTGACTGTCCCGTGTGCAGGACTCCCTCCAGAAGTCAACACCATCACGGTCAGCCTGGTATTGGGTCTCTGCAGCCCGCTGGGGGCCTGGGGACTTGTTTCTGAGGGAAGGATGAGAAGTGAGCGCTGAGGCCGATGTAGAGGAGAGGGAGGGGGCCTCGCAGGCTCGTTTGCTTCTGTGGGCATTCCTGCAGTCAGAGGCCACATGTCCGATTGCAGCGCTGCGAGGGTGAAATTGGCTCTTCCGACAATGTTTAGAAACATTGTCACATTTATATTCAGCACGTCTTCGCCACTGCTAACACTGGCAGCCCTCTGCCCAACAAGGAAGCCCACCTGGGTGCCTTCCAGGAGTCCTGTCATGGCCCCAGGTGGCCTGTTAGAGAGCTCTGGCCACGCAGGCTCCCCTCCTGGGTCCTGGGTACCAGTCACCCATCATGAAAGGAGAGTTGGGGTGAGTTTCTGCCCTCTGCTTAGAAATCTAAAAGATGGAACATTTTCTGTATTTTAGGCAACTCTCCAGGACATTTGTGTTCCCTCAACCTCACTTAAATCTCTCACTGGAAAAGTCCTTAGTCTAAGGTGGATGGTACTTCCCTTTCATACAGGATCCTGCTCCTACCCCTGACAATGATGAAAGTTATTAAATTTTGTTTTATTTAAAATACACTTATTCTTTCATTGTGAAAGTAACAGAAGTAGCACTTTGTAAAAAATGTATATGATTTATGGTCAAGTTAGCTATGTACAATGTATACAGTGGGCCCTTGGCTTTGGGAGTAGATTCCCGTGATTCATCGCTTCCATACAACACCCAGTGCTCATCCCAAAAGGTGCCCTCCTCAATGCCCATCACCCATTTTCCCCTCTCCCCCACCCCTTCATCCGCCCTTAGTTTGTTCTCTGTATTTAGGAGTCTCTTGTGGTTTGCCTCCCTCCCTCTCTGTTTGTAACTGTTTTCTCCCCTTCCCCTCCCCCATGGGCTTCTGTTATGTTTCTCAAATTCCACATATGAGTGAAAACATGATATCTGCCTTTCTCTGACTGACTTATTCCACTTAGAATAATACCCTCCAGTTCCATCCATGTTGTTGCAAATGGCAAGATTTCAATCCTTTTTCATTACTGAGTAGTATTCCACTCTCTATATAACTCACATCCTCTTTATCCATCCATCAGTCGATGGACATTTGGGCTTTTTCCATAATTTGGCTATTGTTGATAGTGCTGCTATAAACATTGGGGTGCACGTGCCCCTTCGAATCAGCACTCCTGGATCCTTTGAATAAATTCCTAGTGGTGCAACTGCTGGGTCATAGGGTAGTTCTGTTTTTATTTTTTGGAGGAACCTCCACACTGTTTTCCAGAGCGGCTGCACCAGTTTGCATTCCCACCAGCAGTGCAAAAGAGATCCTCTTTCTCTGCATCCTCGCCAGCATCTGTTGTTTGCTGAGTTGTTAACGTGAGCCACTCTGACAGGTGTGAGGTGGTATCTCAGTGTGGTTTTGATTTGTGTTTCCCTGATGATGAGTGATGTGGAGCATTTTCTCATGTGTCGGTTGGCCACCTGGATGTCCTCTTTGGAAAAGTGTCTCTTCATGTCTTCTGCCCGTTTCTTCACTGGACTATTTGTGTTTTGGGTGTTGAGTTTGATAAGTTCTTTTTCGATTTTAGATAGTAACCCTTTATCTGATACGTCATTTGCAAATATCTTCTCCCATTCCGTCAGTTGCCTTTTAGTTTTGCTGATTGTTTCCTTTGCTGTGCAGAAGCTTTTTATTTTGATGAGGTCCCTGTAGTTCATTTTTGTTTTTACTTCCCCGCCTTTGGAGACGTGTTGAGTAAGAAGTTGCTATGGCCGAGGTCAAAGAGATTGTTGCCTCTTTTCTCCTGTAGGATTTTGATGGCTTCCTGTCTCACATTTAGGTCTTTTATCCATTTTGCATTTATTTTTGTGTATGGTGTAAGAAAGTGGTCCTGTTTCATTCTTCTGTATCTTATTTATTTATTTACTTATTTCAATGTTTATTTATTTTTGAGAGATAGAGACAGAGACAGAGACAGAGTGCAAGTGGGAGAGGGGCAGAGAGAGAGGGAGACCCAGATCCGAAGCAGACTCCAGGCTCCAAGTTGTCAGCACAGAGCCCGATGCGGGGCTCAAACTCACGAACTGTGAGATCATGACCTGAGCTGAAGTCAGCCGCTTAACTGACTGAGCCACCCAGGTGACCCTCATTCTTCTGCATGTTGCTGTCCAGTTCTCCCAGCACCATTTGCTAAAGAGACTGTCTTTTTCCCATTGGATACTCTTTCCTGTTCTGTCGAAGATTAATTGGCCATACATTTGTGGGTCCAATTCTGGGTTCTCTATTCTATTCCATTGGTCTAGGTGTCTGTTTTTTGTGCCAATACCATACTGTCTTGATGATTATAGCTTTGTAGTAAAGGCTAAAGTCTGGGATTACGATGCCTCCTGCTTTGTTTTTCTTTTTTACCATTTCTTTGGCTATGCAGGGTCTTTTGTGGTTTCATACAAATTTTAGGATTGTTTGTTCTAGCTCTGCAAAGAATGCTGGTGTTCTTTTGATAAGGATTGCATTGAGTGTGTAGATTGCTTTGGGTAATACCGACATTTTAACAATATTTGTTCTTCCAGTCCATGAGCATGGAATGTTTTTTCATTTCTTTGTGTTGTCTTCAATTTCTTTCATAAACTTCCTATAGTTTTCAGCATACAGATCTTTTACGTCTTTGGTTAGGTTTATTCCCAGGTATTTTATGCTTCTTGGTGCAATTGTGAATGGGATCGATTCTTTCTCTTTCTGTTGCTTCATTCCTGGTGTATAGAAATGCAACCATTTTCTATACATTGATTTTATATCCTGCGACTTTGCTGAATTTATGTATCAGTTCTAGCAGTTTTTTGGTGGAGCCTCTTGGGTTTTCCGTGTAGAGTATCATGTCATCTGTGAAAAGTGAAAGTTTGACTTCTTTGCCAATTTGAATGCCTTTTATTTCATTTTGTTGTCTGATTGCCGTAGCTAGGACTTCCAACTCTATGTTAAACAACAGTGGTGAGGGTGGCCAACCCTGTCGTGTTCCTAATTTCAGGGAGAAAGCTCTCAGTTTTTCCCCATTGAAGATGATATTAGTGTGGGCCTTTCATATATGGCTAGAAGAAACAGTTCTGTGAAGCCAACATGATGTCACTTAAATATAAGAGCTGTGGAAATAGGTAATACACAGGAAGGAGACACAGGCTACATATATTTTAACTTAAAATTTGTAGCTATCTGTGCATTAATTTTTAGCAATTTTATTGAGATCTGCTTTTCATATAGTGAAACCTTCAGGTTTTAACTGCACATGTTGGCAAGTTGTGACAAATGTGGAAAGTCAGACAAGATGCATGACAATGTCATGGCTCCAGAAAGCCCCCTGCTTCCTTCCTGGTCATTATCCCGCCCAGAGGCCACCACACCCCTGACCGCCTTCCTAATGTGGCCACTGTCACAACTCTGGATGTTTCTGTATGGGGCTGAAGAGTCTGAGTGAGCACTTGTCTCACAGCTGGATTCTTAGTCTCCGTTTTTAGTATAAACCGCATCCTTAATTTGTCTTCCTAAGATGTGTGGTTTCAGTGTTTTTCTAAAGTGGACTGAGAAATCGAGTGTATTTGTAAGGAGTCTAAGACCAGAATTCTTCCAAATATTCAAAAATTATTTTCTGTTTAATAGTTATCTTGTCAATACCTAATTCAAGATCAATTTTTAAAAGAACTTCAACTTGCCTTTATCTTGATTTTCCAAGTCAAGTTTATCCTGGTTTTCATAGAAACCACTTTCTTTCATTAGCACTAGCCGGAAGCTGGTTTCCATAATAATAAACGAGCTTAGCAGTAGGGAGAGTGTGGACAAGCGGCATAAATGTGCTTGGGTGCAAACCTAAGTGTCCTGGTGAAGCTCACAGTAAGAAGTGGTCTACTGCTTTTCACTGAAGTGATGGGCCCGCTGAGCCCGCGACCACGTGAGTGGCAGAGCAGAGACGGGTGTGTTACAGGTGCTTTACGTACACATACAGATTGATGAGAACACACATGTACGTGCTGCACCCCAGAGGTATCTACTGTCAGCATTTTTCCATAGTTTTCCGGGCTCTCAAGTGCTCTCATGCACGTAGAGCTAACATTATTGCAGGGTTCGAGGGAACAGACTGCAAGTGGGGGATGCCCCAGTAGGACTCTCAGAGCTCAGTGAGAGCTGATGTACTCAGGGCCATGGTTTATTTTTTTTAATTTATTATTTTTTTTAACGTTTTATTTATTTTTTGAGACAGAGAGAGACAGAGCATGAACGGCGGAGGGTCAGAGAGAGAGGGAGACACAGAATCCGAAGCAGGCTCCAGGCTCTGAGCCGTCAGCACAGAGCCCGACGCGGGGCTCGAACTCACGGACCGCGGGATCATGACCTGAGCCGAAGTTGGCCGCTTAACCGACGGAGCCACCCAGGCGCCCCGGGGCCGTGGTTTATCACAGCAAAGGGATACAGGCGAACGTAACACAAGGAGAAGGCCACAGGGCAGAGTCCAGGCAGAGCTCCCAGCTGTCTGTGGACAGCAGTCCTCCCTGGCATCCACGTGTCCTCACCAGAGCCCAGACTGGGCCACTGGGCCCCTGGGCCACGTGTGCTTTGGTGTTGGCCTCTGGCAAGCTGGGCAGGGATGGTCGGGTTGGGGAGTGTTTTCCTTCCTTTAGATGCCACAGAAGCTCAGACTTTGCCCAGGCACTGTTAGCAGGCAAGTAGAACATGGGGACAGGGGTAAAATGACCTGTGCTGGCAGGAATGCCCTTCCATGTGGCCCGCCCATTCCGTTCTTTCCATCTTCTCCATCTGACCCACTTGTCTCATCCCTCCTGATGATGTTTTGGGGGGATGGGTTCATAGGGTGTGGGGCCAACAGCCAAGAAGGAATTCTTGAAGATATCTTTGGTGCAAAAAGGTCATTTTATTATATTAAAGTATGTGGACAGGACCCATGGCGGGAAGAGCTGCTCTGGGGTCGTGACAGGTAGCTCATTCTTTACCCGTAGGTTGGGAGGGGTCAGGGATAGAGTAAGTCTCTGAGGAATTTTGGAAACAAGGTTTCCGGGACCTTGAGGGGTTAGCTGTTGCTAGGGAGACACCATTTATTACCATTTAGTAAAACCTCGGTCATGAGACCCCCCCCCAGATGTGTATCGGGGGGCCGTAAGTTTGGAGTATCATTGCCAGCATGTATCTTGGGGCAGTCGAGATAAAGGAAGTAGACTTACAGGAACCTTGAGGTTGGGATAATGTTAAGCTAAGGTTCTCTTTTGGCCCCAGCAAAGTGTCATCATCGAGGCAGCTGAGCTCCTAGAGGGAGGTCATTCTGCCGGTCTCAAGGACTTGTCAATGGGCTGTAGGCAGTAAGGAAATTTAATTTTTCATTTGCTGCAGTTTCCCACATCACCATGGCAAGCACTTAAACCCCTTTCCTTTGTTCTTGGGCAGCCAGGAGTGTCCGAGGAATATCACACATATTCCACCGGGGAGGGGGGTGGGGGCGATGCCAGCCTGTATTTGCCCTCGCCGTGCCCCAAGCTCCCTCATCGCTTCCATCCGCCCCACCTGCCTCACTGGCCCCATCGACCCCACCCCTTCCGTCTACCCCGTCCGCTCCACCTCACATGGACCAGCCAGAGTGTGTGCAGGTGCACCTCTTTATGGTTCGAGAAGCCTGCCTCCACTGTGATGACTTCCCCGGTGGTCACAGCTCCTGCTTTGGGCAAAGGCCAGTAGATGCTTGGAAGGGTCTTGACCAACCTGAAGAGACTGGCAGATAAATTGCTTGCCTTTTCTCTAGAAGGTCTAGAGAGGCAGTGGTTCCCTAAAGATTCCCTGAAGATAACTCAGTGAGCCATCATCTTGCTGTTTCCTTTATAATCTGTGGCAAGCCAAAAAGAAAAACAAAAACAAAAAACCCACCAACAGCAAAACCAAAGGGCATCACTCTGTATTTATTCCCCTTTCTTCCCACTGACACTCCTGCTCCTGCCTCTTACTCCTTCCCTGGGATTGCAGCTCTCACCCCATTCCCAGTGCACTGGTCTCTGGCTCAGTTTTCTGAAAGACACCATATCACCTCATGCAGAGGCCTAGCCATGCTGAGACAGAACTGAATGTTTGCCCTGTTAGAAAAAAACGTGAAACATTAAGATAGAAAAACAAAAACAATTATTGTCGTTCCCCCTCTAGGTTTTGTGATTCAGTTTGGGCCTGTGCCTTTTATTGCCTTGAGCTATTTTATAGCTTTTAAGCTGTAGGAAACTTATAATAATGCAACTAATTATTGCCCATAGAAATGCAACTAAATTTTGTCCTTTGGAATGCAATTGCCCTGTTGATACTGACCTCTATTTGTAGATTTATTTCAGCATTTCTGATTGCCTGTATACGAATGTGTCTGAACTCTGCCTTGAACTGGTTGTAATATCTTACGTGTTCCTCACAAGTTAAACAAAGTATGTGCCGTGTTGCCGTGTGGTTTTTTTTTTTTTGTTTGTTTTGTTTTTTTTTTTTTTTTTATATTTGCGTAGGACTCCTGACTTTGAAAACAAACGTCCTTTACAGCCCCCACCCCCAGCCTTTGCCTGGAGTCTGTCTGGAGCAGGTTTGGAAGGGCTTCCCTCACGTGTCTTTCAGCCAGAACACAGCACGGTGCAAAGTGTCACTCGTCTTCCTACTTGTTCACCGTAAACGGTGGCCGAACACGCCAGCCCAAGACGGCCACCCCACTTTGGCATAAGATGATTTGAGCAAAAGGCACTTGTAAAACAGCAGGTACAAGAAGAACGTCCGTATCTCCCCCTTTCTTCCTGAGAGCAGGACACAGACCAGGGTGAAGTTGCTGTCCCTGTACCAGGGGGAAGGAAGTGGTCTTGCCAAGGGGACAGGAGCCCAGGACGGGAGAATTCTTGTTGAAATAACTCCTACCCAGGTATTTTGGATACTTTCCCACTGTCCCTTTCTGTTCACACTAGCGTGAAACCTCTCGTTTTTGCCAATCCTGGGTCCTCTCCTTATGAGGGCTCCCTCCCATGTGATGAAAAACTTATGTAAAATAAACTTGTGTGTCTTTCTCCTGCTAAGTCGCAGGCCCAGGCCAGAGACCCCAAGAGGGTTGAGAGAATGGCATTCCTCCCTCCACCAGACGGAGTGCCTCCAGCGCAGGACCCTGTCTGTCTTGCTTCCCTCCCACTGACTCCTCAGTCCCAGAGCCCCTCGGGCAGGAAGTGAGGACTGTCTGCCGAGTAAATGATCTGTGTCCACAGCACCCACCCATCTCCTTCCCGCCTCAGCCCATTCACACTCAGACCAGCATCAGCATAAGGGAGGACAGTGGTTTGCTTACATGCATCCTTTAGGAAGACACGTGCCCTTACAGGGCTTGAGCAGCTGACAAAACAAGGACTTCTCTGTGTATACACTGGCACATACTAATGCTCCATGTTCCCAGTGGAGCTCCAGGAGCTAAAAATAACCACGCGTGTTCTGTTTTATACAGAAAAGAGGAAATGTGCAGCTTAGTTTGTAACATTTACTATTTTTGAAAACCTGATTTTTTTCCACATGTATTTTTAAAATGTCTTTGGTGATGTCCTTGCAGGAAAATGCACAATGCAGATTTCACCAAAGGTCCCTCCATTCTGTAATCCACATCTTCAGGAAACAATTGCTGGAGACCAGATACACTTGACCATGAGATGGGTTTTCGGGAAGCCGCCCAGATGCAGATCACCAGGGGTCATAGGAGGGCCAAAGGGCCCCGGGACCTCGGAAGCCAGGTCTCTGCCTAGTCTGCCCCCTGTGCAAGGAGGGGCACACGATCCCATGACCACAGGCTGACAGTGGGAGCGCGGGCCTCTGTCATCCTGAGAGATGAGCGAGAGGTGACCGTCACGCAGTGTCGCTCTGACCGCCACTGAGCGTGGTCTTTCGTGAAAAGATGGGAGGGAGTGTGTGCTACAGGTCTTCATCTCGTACTGCGTATTTGCTCCTTAAGTGAGTGTGGGGAGGGTCTTGGTTTCCAAGGCTCCCCTGTAAGAGACGGCAGGCTATGATGGTCATGAGCTGGTGGTGTTCGGTGTTGTTCGCTGCCCTTCCTTCTCACAGGGACGCTGGAAGGTTAAAAAATATGTAAAGAACAAATGAAGTAAAAAGGAAGAGACACAAGTTGCCTACAGCACAGGAAGTTGGGAACGTGGGTGAGTAATCACAGACCACGGAGGTATTTCCATGAGCAAAGAGCACAGGGACTGCGGGTGGGTGTGTGGGTGTGGGTTTGGCAGAAGAGGGTCCCTGCCGGCTCTGGGCACATCAGAGGGCAGGGCTGCCTGGGCGTCTTCTGGGCGGTTCTTCCCCAAGGCCACCATGGTGGGCCCTTCCCATCAGGACCTCTCCTTCCAGATGCAGGGAGCTGGCTACATGGCTGGCCACTGCAGACCTGAGCAAATGTGTCTGGGGTATAGAGCCAGGGTGGTGGGGGGAGGTGGGAAATGCATAGTATTTTGTAGTAAGGACAATGGCAACAAGATGTATGAAATGAGCATGTTTCCAAAGAAAGTCCGTAGTGATTTGGAAAATGTGATAGGGACAAACTGAGGCCTGATCTCAGTGGTAAGTACCTAGGAATTAACTTATCCAGAAAGACAGTGGCTTAATGTGGAAAATGCTATCTCACTGAGGTTATTAAAACAGTGAGCGAAAGAGACACCATCACCGGAAGGCAAAGACTGAATAGCATATGCGTTAATTCTCCTGGGTTTTTTTTTTTTTAATTTTTTTTTTTAACGTTTATTTATTTTTTTGGGACAGAGAGAGACAGAGCATGAACGGGGGAGGGGCAGAGAGAGAGGGAGACACAGAATCAGAAACAGGCTCCAGGCTCTGAGCCATCAGCCCAGAGCCCGACGCGGACTCGAACTCACGGACCGCGAGATCGTGACCTGGCTGAAGTCGGACGCTTAACTGACTGCGCCACCCAGGCGCCCCTCTCCTGGGTTTCAAAGATGTCGTATGAGTCACGACAAAATTATATCTCGATCTTTGAAGCCTGCTAATGTGATTCAAGCTCACCTGGAGAAGAAGTGAATGTGAAGAACCAGAAGCACTTTAAGAGAAGAGGCCTCTCTTGAGGTCAGAGATTACTTATCAGACCTCCAGCTGTAGTCCAAGCTACAGTCAGCCACAAAAGGTAGTGTGGCTGCAGGAGCCCTCATTTATATCAATGGAAGATCATAGATCACTCTGGAAAGAATCAGAATTTATGCAATAATTTTATGTGTTCATGTAACAATCTACTAAATGTTAATAGGATCATCATTAATCAATGAACAAAAGTTATTCAGTCGATCATATGGGACCAAGAAATAAATTACATACACTAAAAGTAGATCTTAGAATGTACTAAGAATGTACTTAGAATGTACTAAATTCTAGGCAGACTTGATTTCAAAATAAAACCACAAAAGAACAAGAAGACAAAACAGGACTCTAAGTAGAAAACTCTAAGTTTTATCCACTCTAAGATGAAAATGTCATTTTTAAGAAGAAAATGTAAGCGAGCACACAAAAAACAGATTTGAATTGACATTGAAATTATAAATTAAGACGGAAATAAGGATGAAAAATTAGGAAGGTAATTTAGTTATAAAAAATTTATAGGCATGCTCCCCTAGTATGTAAGAATTTCTTAGAAATGATTATCAAAAGGCAAAAGACATGAAAGACAAACACAAAAATGATAACAGTAAACACGGAAAAATGTTTAGCATCGTTACTGATCAAATCAGACTTAGATAGGAAATTGTTACTGACTTCATTTTTTTTAAATTAAAAAAAAATTTTTTTTAACGTTTATTTATTTTTGAGACAGAGAGAGACAGAGCATGAACGGGGGAGGGTCAGAGAGAGGGAGACACAGAATCCGAAGCAGGATCCAGGCTCCGAGCTGTCAGCACAGAGCCTGAGGCGGCGCTCAAACTCACGGACCACAAGATCGTGACCTGAGCCGAAGTTGGCCGCTCGACCGACTGAGCCACCCAGGCGACCCACTGACTTTAAGAGGATTGTATGCAGTGTTGGTAATGAGGCCTTTCAAGTTCTTGTGGTGGTATTGGTGGTAGGAAAATACAGACTTTCTTCAACCTTAATTAATGAAAGATGTTGACACGGCTCCTCTTTTTCTCCTTCCCTTTCACTGTTCAGTCCCTTCCTAAAGATTTCAGGGCCATTCTTTTCAGGGAATGAACCCAGGGACAAGGGCAGGATGAGGCCAGCATGGTGGGTCATCACTCAGAGCTTCCTTGGAGGAGGCAGCATCCACCGGGGAGCCCGCAAGTAGGGGCAACCTGGCACTCTGCACACAGCACCCTGAGAGATTGGCCTGAGTACCCCTTTCACTAAAAGAAATGAGGACTTTTTGGGCCGACAGCTCATTTTGGTGCTGGAGCAGGGAAAGATGAGCAGGAGACATCAGACTGTGCGAGACAGGAAATGCTTCCAGGATGGTGGCAACACATCAGACACCACAGAAGCCAGTATGGAGGGTCCCACCTGCCAACTCTAGGACAGTTGCAGCATCAGAATAAGTAAAATTAGGGACAGATTGCATATACTAGAAACCACACATTAAACTGATGTAAAGAAATGCACAAATAAGTCCAAAATTCCATGAAAAATGGAACATTGAAATAGACTCAAAGTTCCTCCTCTCAAAATTCTTTTTTTTTTTAAGTTTTTTTATTTTGAGAGAGGGGGGGGCCCCCCCCCGGGGGCGGGCGGGGGGGGGGGGCGCAGAGAGAGGAGAGAGAGAGAATCCCAAGCAGGCTCCGTACTGTTAGTACAGAGGCCAGCGCAGGGCTCAAACTCACGAACCGTGAAATCATGACCTGAGTTGAATTCAAGAGTCGGATGGTCAACTGACTGAGCCACCCAGGGGCCCCTCTCTCAAAATTCTTATTAACTGCAAAGAAAATAAGTGGAGAAGACTAGGGGACATGGGGGTAGTCAGGTGACAGACAGGAACATCATCCGTAAGGGGACAGATTGCCACCTGATGTGTGATAGGACAGTTCCTCGTGCAGCATTCCTGCTAGAGGTGCATCTAATCATGACGAGACATCAGACAAACCCAAATGGACAGATGCTCCACAAAATAACTGACCTGTGTTCTTCAAATGCACCAAGATCGTGAGAGTCCAGACGAGACTAAGAGCTTCTCCTGACTGACAAGAAAGAGGTTAAAGAAGCCAGCACACAGCTCTAAGCTGGACCTTCTTTCTCTAATGGCAGCATGGGGACAAATGGCAAAACTTGGATGGAGCCCAGGATTAGGTTAGTGCAGTGTAACAGGATTAACAAAGCATCGTGTCCCTTTCCTGGTTTGATTTTGATGGTTGGGCCGCCCTGATGTAGCACAGTGTCCTCGTTTGTGGAAAGATTTTGGGGGTGATGGAGCCTTCCAGTCAGCAGCTTATTTTTAGAGCAGTCAGACAAAAATCCTTGCACCACATTTTCAACCTTTGCATAGGTTTGAGATTGTCACCCGCACCCGCGTAAACACACGCACACACACATGCATGCGTGCGCGCACACACGAGCACACAAGTGTGTGCGCACACGTGTGCACGAGCACACGTGGGCACACGCACACATGTATGTGTGAGCATGCACACATGCACGCACACAGGTGCAGCCTTGGAGTAAACAGACGTGCCCTTTGGCCCAGCAGTTCTACTTCAGGGATCTTTCCTAGGACAGTAGCTAGAGTCCCCACCCAAGCAAGCTGCGTGCAGGAAGAGGTTCACTTCATTCTCGTGACACGGTGGAAACCAGGTGAGTGCCTACTAGCAAGGAGGTGCATCCTGACGCAATCATGTGGTGAATGTCTGTTTCATCACTAGGAGCCGTGTTTATGAAGAATGTTCGACAACAGTGGAATCTGTCCACAGCATGCTGTTCATGGAGGTAAGTTTACAGACTAGTGTAGCCAAAGTTTTCCCAGTCAAACAAGTACGCAGAGATGTGAAGGTCGGGGAGGTTCGGGACAGCAGGTGGACTTGGTATGGGATTCGGCACGCGCAGAGACAGGAGGATGGAGGAGGGGGAGGGGCTAGGTCACCTTTAGGAAGCAGGGCGACGGGGGACCCTCCCAGGCTTACTTACGGCTGGGCCTTCCCTTGGGAAACCAGCCCCAGGATCAGCTCAAACTCAGAGTCTGGTGGCGGTTGGACTCTCACAAGCCCCCCAAGCTGGGCACACTCCCAGGGCCGAGCACGAAAGGTAGTGAGCCTTCCAAGGACGTGGCTCCCATGTCTGCCATGGCCTCTGGGCTGCAGCTGGGGCTGTCAGGGAGTGTTGCGTTCCCCAGGCTGGACCACGTGCTCCCCACCCTCCATGCTGCTCCTTCCGCATACGGCCACCCTCTGGAAGGACAGCACTCTCCCCCAGACTCCCACCGTGACTCTCCTGTCCTGAGTGGACCCCATCCCTCTGTGGAAGGGAGCAGCCTCAGTGCAGGCCCAGGCTCTGGGAGGAAGCTCCAGGCACAGCTGCCAACTGTGAACATTCAGGAGCAGCCAGCCGCCAACGCAGGGCCATGGTGACAGGTGCTGTGGACAGGTCTCTGTCACTGGGCGTGTCCACCCTGATTAGCGTCTGCGTCTCCAGCCTGGCTTGTCTTGGGCCCTGCCTGCGCCAGCCTGTCATTTGCCAGGAACTGGAGACGGGGAGCTTCTGTAATGAGAAGATAGTTGTCAAGCTCTGTTTCTCTCCAACACCCGAAGCTCCCGACAAGGATTATAATCGAAGCCTGATTTGCAAGGACATGAACCCATTCTCTGGCGGCTGTGAGATGCTGCTTCTCGGGGTCTCTGGGTCCAGCGTGTGTGGGGTGGGGGGCTCAGAGGAGGATTCAGGTGCAAGAGAAGCAGCCCCAAATGATCTGGGCTTCCACAGCAGGGCCGGTGCCTGTGGGCCTGGGGTCAGGCTATAGGAGTTCAGAACCCAGCAGTTAGTCACTCTCTCCATGCCTCAGTTTCCCCAACTCTGCAATGGGTGTAATAACAATACTTACTACTTCATAGACCTTTTAAGAAGCAACTACAATATGTAGAAACTCCCAGAGCAGAGGCTGGCACGGAGGGAACTCACCCTGAAGTGTTAGCTGACTGTAAGAGCAGCCTAATGTCAGTTCTAATAACAGAGTAGGCACCAGGCATGTGTGGGGCCCTTGCTTGGCCTCTGGCCACTCAGTGCAGAGCAGGTGAAGGGCTCTGGGCTGGAGTTTTGTCACTGCCCATAAAAAACACAGCTACCCATTGGTTGCTTCCTAAAGGATAGACAGTGAGAGGGGTCCAGGGTTACCCCAGTCACCCCAACCATTTGGCACAACCTGCTCTGGTGCCCCAGGTGCCCCCGTAATTGATCTAATTGGCCTGGACCATGAGAGGCCAGGGAGCTGGGCTGTGACCTGCGTTTCGCAGCCAAGGGTGGACTGATGGATGTGTCTAGCAGGCCCAGCCCCTCAGCAGCTCTCCTTAGTGGTATTTTCTGACCCATCTGGGAGCAAGGACTGGCTGGAGCCCTGGGCCTCACAACAAGGTTGTTGCCCCTTCCTTGGACTCACAGGGCAAGCAGCGGTGTTGGGATGTGTCCCTTGATGGTGGCCCAACTTGAGGGGTCCCTGGGCTCCCAGGAGATAGCCAGCCTGGGGGAATCTCCTCCTGACAGGAGTCTCACTGGACGGACACCTGCACTTCTAGTGGTGGAATGAGGATGAGGGATGTGCACTTCCTGGCCAGATCGAGGCCCAGGCTCACTGGCCGGTGGTCTTCTGCCACCCTCTGCAGTTCTCCCAGGCAGACCCCAGCACAGAGATGCAGGTGAGGCTGGAACTAGAGGGAAAGTTGTAGCCTCAGTGCATATGTGAGAATATAGGGAAATCTAATCCCTGATAAGTTGAGCATTTGTCGTGCATTAGGAAAGGAGAAGTAAAACTACAGGTGACCCTTGAGTAACATGGGTTTGAACTGCATGGGTCACTTATACAAGGGTTTTTTTTTTTTTTCTTCAATAAATTCTGTACAGTACTTTAAATGCACTTCTTCTTCCTTATGATATCTTAGTAACATTTCTTCTCTAGCTTACTTTACTGTAAGAATACAGTATGTAATACGTGTAACATACAACATATGCGGTAATCAACTGTTTATGTTATCAGTAAAGCTTCTGGTCAATTGTAAGGTATGAGTAGTTAAGTTTCTGAGGCGTCAGAAGTTACACATGGATTTCCAACTGTGTGGGGAATTGGTGCCCCTACCCCCGTGTCGTTCCAGGTCAACTGTGTTCTATGACACCCATACGTAGTGAACCCAGTGCCTGAAATGGAAAGACTGACAGTACTAAGTATCAGCACGGGTGTGTAGCTGCCGAGATTCTGCGGGCCTGCAAGTGGATGTTGGTAAGTGCATGGGATCTTTTTTATTTCTGGATCTGAGTACAAAGTACACACGTGTTTTCACTTTATAAAGCTTTTGTGTATGTAAGCCACACCTCAGTAAAAACGTGTATTTATTTATTTTATTAAAAATTTTTTAATGGGGGCACCTGGGTGGCTCAGTCGGTTGAGCGTCTGACTTTGGCTCAGGTCATAATCTCACAGTCCGTGGGTTTGAGCCCCGTGTCGGGCTCTGTGCTGACAGCTCAGAGCCTGGAGCCTGCTTCGGATTCTGTGTCTCCCTCTCTCTCTGCCCCTCCCCTGTTCACGCTCTGTCTCTCTCTGTCTCAAAAATAGATAAACGTTAAAAAAATTTTGAGACAGAGAGAGGGAGAGAGAAAGAGAGAGAGGGACAGAGCATGAGTAGGGGAGGGACAGAGAGAGAGGGAGACACAGAATCTGAAGCAGGCTCCAGGCTCTGAGCTGTCAGCACAGAGCTTGACGTAGGGCTCGAACTCACATACTGTGAGATGATGACCTGAGCCGAAGTCGGAGGCTTAACTCACTGAGCCACTCGGGTGCCCAAAAATGTGTATTTAGAGAAAAAAAAAAAATGAAAACACATTGACAGTGGGGCCTGCAGTACTGACCTGAGCGAGGCCCCTCTGTGACCTTGGATAGCCCCTTTCTTGCTCTGGGACTTGTTTTCACAATTGCAAAGCAGAGGAGGCCACATAGATACTGCTGTTATTCTGACACAATGAGGCGGCACCCCAATTGCCCCTCCGAGGTGGGACGCACCAGCGCACACTGTCCCAGGGACCCCTTGAGAGCAAGGCCACCCCAGACAACCGTCCACGTGGGCAGGGGCTCCAGCACATGTTGGAGCGGTGGGGTAGCAAACGTCAGGGGGCTCCAGGCTCCAGCGTGCGGGCACTAATACAAAACCCAGTTTTACACAAATGCCGAGCATCAGGCCTGGAAATAGGCCTGGTTTCCCCCTGTGCCCTGATTGCACAGGAATGTTTCCTTCACTGCTGGCCCTGCAGAAGTCTCTTGTCAGTATTATCTACTCCTTTGGTTTTCCTCATTTTGTCCAGGGAGAGAGGGATGCCTGTGGGATCCACGGCTCTTGCCACGGCTCCCCCCGAGGGCCTGGAACGTCCTATTCTTGTGTATGGACACAGTCGCATTTTCCACACTGTGTCCATTTGCATCTGGCCAGCAACTAGCATCAGAGCCCGAGCCCCTGTCCGTGGGCATCTTCACCATGACCTTGACCTTAGGGCCCCATGGCCCTGAGCAGCCTGGCTCAGTCACCCATGACTCATGGAGTCCACAGACTCCCACTTCCTTTGGATTGTCTAGAAGTGGCCCATCCGTCAGGCTGATCTCATTTTCCACTTGGAGAGAGAGAGGGGCCTCCAAGTGAACCCTCCACTGCCGAGAGGGTGGTAGGCCCACAGATTTAGGCTGAGGCCGTGACCTTCACCCAGGAGCGCAGTTCCCATTTCCTATCAGACCCCCTCCCAGTAGCTGAGAAGGAGCCTCTGACCGTTGCTGAAACGCCCATTGGTTCAGGAAATCTTTTACTATAAACACCCAGACAACACGTGTCAGTCTGCTACGGACTGATATTGTGTTATCGCGTTAGCTTCCAAAACATCCCCTCGCCCGAGCGGCCCCAGGCCTGCGGGCGGCAAGAGCACCGTCTCACAGAAGGGCAGACGCAGCTCCCCGAGTGAGGCAGGCTGCTCAGCCTCACAGAGGTGGCCCTGGTGCTGGCCGCAGTCCCCAGCATCCAACGCCAGGCAGTGCTCACTAATTTGCTCCTTTTTCTAGTTTCCTTGTTCATTCCTTCTTCCTTTTGTTCACTCAAACAGCTTCACTGAGCTGCGATTCACCTAGCACCCAAGTCACCCATTTAGAGGGTATACTCCTGTGGTCTTAGTGTGTTCATAAATGCGTGCAACCACTGGCCACAGTAAATTCTGGAACATTTTCACCAGCACAGGTGCCCGTATGCTTTAGCTAGCAGTCCACAATGACTATACGGCCACAGGTGGCCAGGTGTAGTGGAGAGCCACCTGTGGTTTGGCTCCTGGTGCCATGGACCCTGACCTGCCCTTGCTGGTACCCAGCTCAGCTACGGCTCTGCTGTGCTTGCCAGCCCTGCCCAGCTCCTGGTACAGAATGCCTGCTTAGGGGCAGGAATGTGGGACCGGGGCCTCGTTAAAGTGGTCCAGACCTGGGTAAAACACGAACATAAAATAGGAATCGCATAGACAGGCCTCATCTTAACTATTGCAGTGGCACCTGCCCTACATTCTCCAAGGTCACAGCACAGTTTGCCTTAAAACCTCCCATGGTGGCTGTGGATGCTTGACGTGGCATGGGACCCAGGGACCCTACCCCCAGTTAAAATAGTTACTGAGGCCCTTGTGAATCGAAATCAGGCCCTCAAGGATTGAGACCTTAGGCAAGTGAAGGGCGATTATTTCCACACTTGTCCAGTCAACAGCCTGCCAACCAGGAGAGCATAGTCCCTTGGTAGTGGCCTCCACCTCACTGCTGGGGGCCCGCAGTGAAGCCCTGCACCCGACATTACTGAAGTCGCTGAGCCCATGTGACAGGAGCTGATGGGGGTTTTGCTGTTGCAGATTTGACCGATCGGTTCTATGGATGCCCATTTCAGCCGTGGCGTCTTTATGCTGGCAGACATCTTGGCCTGTGCTCACCACCCTGCAGTTTCTCTGTCCCTGGGAGCCGAGGCTGTAAGGCCCTGGGCACCACTGCTCCCTCCTTCCCAGAGACACACCCTGGACAGACTGTGGGGCCTGGGCAGCTGAGTCTGGATTTGGGGTTGCCACTGGCCCTGCTCCTTCATCCAGGAGCTGTGGGTCAAGAGAGTGAAGCATGCTGACATTTTTGCTGGCCTGGCAGCATCCCCTTGCCCGCAGGCAGAAGGAACCCTCACGTAGGGTGGGCAGAGAAAGCACTTCGGGGCACCAGGAGGCTTAGCTGCCTTCTGGCTACAGAGCGGTGCCCGAGGCAGGCATGGGCCCACCCCCCTGGTTCTCCCAGTGCATTCGGGCAAGGCTTGGCTCCTCTGGGAAGACATCTGATCTGGGAATGAGTCCATCTGGGATGGAGTTCAAGCTCTGTACTCACCAGCTTCATCATCCCTTGACCTTCAGGTGCAAGCCCCAGGTGGGCCCTCCTCCTGAGGCTCCCTGGCCTCTGCACACCTCAGGCTCTCTCTGGGGCACGTGGTCAGAAGGGGTGCCCCCCCCCCCCCAGCCCTCGCCAGGGAGGATGCCCATCCTCGTCCAACCCAGACAAAACCTGCTGTTCCCAGCGTTACCGTAGGAACAGATTCAGGACAGGGCTGAGCTCCTCCTCCCTGGTAACTTGGAGATCCCGAAGACAGCTGGCATTCTGCTAGGCCCCTGCCGTGCCGAGGCATCCGATGGCAAAGGGCACTGCACCTGAGCACAGCACTGCCACTCGTCACCCAGGGGACAGGGCCCTGTGCTCCCAGGACTGTCAAGCACATTCTGGATGCTTTACTGCTACTAAGGTTGGGGGGGGGGGAGCTGCTGGGGGAGGGAGTCAGACTATGAACATGTTAAAAGTCGGGGGGGTGTAAAGTTATTGCACATAAATATTCTGCAAACAGCTGCCTAGAATATTCCTTATATTGGAAAGTATGCTTTGAGGTCATTACTCAGGATTTTATAGGCCGTTTCTTGGCCGAGCCCCAGGATGGCTTATGGCTTTGCAAAAAGGCGACGCCACGTTTTATGAATGACAGGTGGCTTTTATCACACCTCTGCATCATCGCTATGGTAATAGGGCTGTGGCGATGCCCTGCGGCCGGGGGCACCTGAGCGGGTGCAGCGGGCACAGCCTGCAGGTCTGGCCTTGAGTAGGGGTCCCCGGACGACACTGACTGAGGTCCATTTCCCAGTCTGTTTTCCTGCCAGTGGAGTCAGTGCAGCAGAACAGCTGCTGGTGCCCCTGTATCTGGGCACAGCCCTGAGGCACAGCCCTGAGGCGGGCCGGCCTCCGCGGGGATTGGCTGCCACGCCCCCCACAACCCGAGGGCCCCGCACTGAGGTCTTTGTCCTTCCTTCTCCTTCTCTGCTCCGTGACCGTCTGCATGGACCGACCTGGCCATCCCACTCTCCCTATCAATTCTTGTCTTTTTTTCTCTGGCTGTAATCCAGGCCTGGCATGTAGGGGTAGGGGACTGACACTAACTGCGGCCAGATCTGCTCCAGCCCTGTTTTCATTGTAGCAGAATTCTTTAAAAAATGTTTTTAAGTGTTTATTTATTTTTGAGCATGAGAGAGAGAGAGAGAGAGAGAGAGCGTGAGCAGGAAAGGGACAGACAGAGAGGGAGACACAGAATCTGAAGCAGGTCAGCTCTCAAGAGCTGTCTGCCCAGAGCCTGATGAGGGGCTCAAACCCACAAACTGTGAGATCATGACCTGAGCCAAAGTCGGACACTCAACCGACTGAGCCAGCCCCACAGCAGAATTACTTTTAATAAACATATTTATTTTGCAACCCGGGAGAAATCACTGCATTTGACCGAAAGAGGCGTGACTTATGATTTGAAAATCAGCCCTGCTCAGAAAATAGTTAAAGAAAAGATGGACACACACATTCCGGGCTCTTCACATGACTTCCAGAGAGTATCAGAAAGGAGCCCGGGGAATGGGGACTAATCCACGGCTGATATTGTTGTTTTTCCAGCAGGTCACAGGGCAATGAGTCAAGAAGCAGATGGGGCGCCTGGGTGGCGCAGTCAGTTAAGCGTCCGACTTCAGCCAGGTCACGATCTCGCGGTCCGTGAGTTCGAGCCCCGCGTCGGGCTCTGGGCTGATGGCTCAGAGCCTGGAGTCTGTTTCCGATTCTGTGTCTCCCTCTCTCTCTGCCCCTCCCCCGTTCATGCTCTGTCTCTCTCTGTCCCCAAAATAAATAAAAAACGTTGAAAAAAAAAATTAAAAAAAAAAAAAAAAAAAGAAGCAGAGCTAGGCTGAGTCAAGGCCACAGCCCAGGAACTGTGGTAAGAGACCTGGTGACTCTGTGGACTGGCCCTAGAGGAGC